CGGGAAATACCTTCACCTGGTGCAATTTTCCGCAAACTGGACTCTTCCCATCTACTCCCAGGATCCCCACCCCTCGGAAATCCCACCCTCTCCCACTAGCCTCGAAGCAGGTAAGCAACCCCTCCCTCCATATTCCCTTTTCCTTTCCTGTTAACTCTACATATGCTTGTCTCCCCTTCTCTCCATGTCATGCTGTCTCTGCGCACAATTCCCTTTCTTCCTTGTGCTCCATGCCTTTCTTCATAGCCGCAATGCAGGCAGCCTGGCAGCATGCACGTCAGACAGACACCGTGGGACACAGATGACTCAGCATTCAGCACTGGATCAGAGACCGACACCAGCGCTGGAGGGACTCTTCAAAACTACTGAAAAGAAGAAGGTGATCGGATCAAGAGGCGTAATTTAAGGTAAGTCCTTACAGAAGCATTGGGGGGAGGGATCTTTGACTCTAATGTCACTTTAACATCTCCCAGGAGTGGGACAATGAGTAACAGGCATAGTCCACAAATTAAAGTGTTAGGATAACTGCACTGAGAAATGCCATGCAGCAGTTGCTGAAATTTATACCTTGGCTCAAGGTTGAATAGGGGCCCGACGCTGGGGTGGGGTGGGGTGAGGAGGGGGGAAGCCTTGCTGTTCTCTGCAAAGCCCCTCACCCCAGCGTCAGGCCCCTATTCAGCCCAGAAGGAATGTACATTCCGGTTTGGATCAAACAAACTCAAGCTTTACTCCATATATTAGTAGGTTAACAGCAAAATAAACAAGATTTTCTTCTACATAAATGGTATGACACGTCACTTCTGGCAAATGGACCAGCACACAATTAGCCTATCGTGTCAGAGGGAACCCAGCTGCATACTTTGCTCCATGTGCTGTCTCCTGCACCCTACTAACTCCATCCAACTCCTCTTTACATCTCCCAGGAGTGGGGACAGCGAGTAACAGGCATGGTCCACAAATGCTGAGTGTATACCTTTGCCCAAGGCTGAATAAGGGCCCAGCGTTAGGGTGGGGGAACCTTTTGCAGGGGACAGCAGTGTTGTCCTCTGCAAAGGCTCCCACCCCAGCGTCGGGCCCCATATTCAGACTTGGGCACCAGCTGCTTTCTGCTTTGCTCTGCAAACCTCCCACCCCACCCCAGCGTCGGACACCAAGCTCAGCTGTTGCAGTTCCTGCCAGCCTCAGACATCTGCTTACCTCTACTCCAGCAGCCTCCGCTCCTGCCTTGTTCTTTATTGCTTCAGCTCACTAAAAAAACAAAGCTCTGCCCCCCGAAAAAGAAAAAAAAAAACCATCATTCGCATACACAGGAAGGTACCAAATCGCAGTTGTACAGGGGGGGCCGGGACCATACAAACTGCACTGCACACAGCCGTGGCGGACCCTGCAAGGGCCACTAATGGACCCCAGTGTCTATGTACGGACACTTCGCCGATCCCTGCAATCAATGTGTGGCTGGATTCTTTTTACTGCTGTGTGTACCTTTTTTATTATATAATTTCTCGGTCACATGACTTTTTTTCCTATTCAGGCCTGGGTCGGCGATGGGGCTAAGCCAGAGCAGGTCACATGTCCTGTGCCATTGCTCCAACTCCTTCAGACCCTCCCCCCAGGCCATACAGGGCAGAGTGGAAATGTCAGTGATGCATCTGCATGGGCTGGGGAGGAGAGGCCTGAAGAGGCTGAAGTAATATCACAGGACATGTTACCTGCTCCAGCTAAGTCGTGCCCCACACCTGAGCCATGCTGACGAGGATTACTCAGTAAGCCAAGAGCTTACTAAGTGGAAAAAGAGCCTATGGATTACTTCTACCAATGAAAAGGAATTTATGTATAAGTATAAGGGATCATCTTAAAAACATGTTTAAGCAAAGCTTACATTGCCTTATAAAAGGTTTGGATGAAGACTGAATTTTTCTACAGAGCAATATCATTTTTGTAGAGTTTTATATACATCACAATTACAAACAGAGCCACGTAGAATATATATAATTCATGGTAAAGGAATCTAAGATTCTCATTTCAATATATTACCTTAATGACAATAGACTAGTCATACAAGCCTATTGTGTAGCAGTGTATAATATGTGCCCAAAGCTTCTGCCATTCCTTTTTCACTTGCTTAGCTTAGATGAAGTAAAGCGTTGTTCCTATCCTTCCTTTCATGGCTATCATGGGAGACAGTAACCTTTCAGTGTGTTTTGGAAAATGAGACCTGTGAGCCTCTTGGGTGGAAGGAACCAGGCGGCCACCCAGCAAGGTCGCCCATTCTTCTCCAGAGCGGAAGACAAGCAAATAAAGACAAAGGACCTGGGTGTACAGCGAACTGTCAGGAGGCAAGCTGCCTCTCAGCATGAGGCATCATTAACTTAATTATAGGCAATAATCTTATAGTAAAGAATGTCTTACCATAGAGCACAGCTAACATAAATTGGAAGGTAGAAAACAATAGGCAAAGCAGGAATATTCTCTTTGGTACATACAATGGAAGTTCACGGCCCTATATTAACATTCTATTATTGAGTGCATATTACCAGTTGGCATCATCTGTTAGACAGGTTTAAACATCAGTCTTTTGCACTGCTTGTAGAAGTGACTGAGATTTAGAAAATTCACCAAGGTTGACAACTATTCTCATGGACACCGGAAAGCAGGTTTTTTTCTTCTATTTTTATTGCTTTTCTCCCAATTTATTTAAAAAAGGGCTGCAAAGATGATCCAAGAATAAATATATATTTCTATAAATAGACATTTATTTCATTTATATATTGTGATGAAAGATGTGATATTTGATGCAGAAATGACAATCATGCTTCCTGATTGGACAGCTAAATCACATATTTAGGTTTCCGAAAACTGGTATGGCTAAAATCCGGACACAAGTGCCTTCACACTCACTTCAAGGGTTAAGAAGATCACTAATGATTAAAGTGCAGGGACTGTCAAGTTAGTGACAGCCATGGGAGCTCTGTTAATGGTTTTCTATTAACCACCACTGTCCAAGTGAGATCAGATGTTTGCAGGGTGCATTAAGACTACTTCTCTCTGAAAAGATACTCTTCCTTACGCATAAGTTATTTCCCAAGTCTGGGATATGATGTAAGACTGGTTGGAGCCCACAGTCAGGAATTAGCATTGTGGGAATAATAAGAATAATATGCTTTAGTTCTGGGTACAGACTGCAGAGACAGAGAGAGTTATAGGCAGAGACTGTCCCACCCTCCTGCTTGTGTCCCCCTCCTCTTCACATCTCTACAATGATCCCCTGGCTCCTATATGCTGCAGCACAGCTCTCAGAGGCTGTGTAGTGACAGGTACAGCAGGGTGTAGAGCGCAGCTGCCCATACACAGAGAAGTCTGCATGGAACAATAGTGCCTTCCACAGACTCAGCGCAGCATCAGCATCAGCTCTGGAGCAAGGGCTGCCTGCCTTTTCATCTTTGCTAGGGTAAGTACTCGCTTTTTAATTTGTCCTTTGTCTGAGAGGAATGTTAGGTTTCAAGTCATCATTTAGGCTGTCCAGGTAAAACTGAATCAAGGGTGGGTTTTATACAGTTAATAACCATTCTTTTCATCTGTAGTTAGCAAGATCCAGATTAAAACTCACATGGGCACCTGCATGCAAAGCACATACAGATGTATATGTATTTTACACTTGTTGCTCTTGAATATTACACATTCATGTCTCGCAATACTCCAAATTAATACATTAATATATTACTTAATATTATACAATTGTATATCATATCTAAAATTATCAAGCATTCTCTTATAACGAATCTAAGTCTAAGATTAAGTTAGCATGGTCGTTACATCATTCAAACATAAAACGGCTTCAAGTTTAGAAACATATATATATATATATA